GCGCCCCGCGGAAGCCGGGGAGGAACCTGTTGACAGAGCCTTAACAGTGCGCGGTTTCTGTCGAGCACGACCCAGCCCGGTCTGAGGTCTAGGTGGGGAACAGTCGTTCGCTCTCCCGGTACCCTAACCGGTTGCTGAGTGTAACACGAGGCTTTCTTCAGAAAAGTCCGTTTGTGAGCAGCCGGAGGTACCTGACCTGCTGCACGCCGGGGCTCTGAACCTGGAATTGCATCCAGAGGAGGAGAAGTGAGCAGGATGCAATGCATCCCCACATTTTATCCTTCTCAGCTTCCTGTTCTCTACTAAATTTCCAGATTCATTAACCCTTTGTGTGCGTGCGTGTGCCAGGAGTGACTGGCAGCTGGAAGTGTTGCCCATATTTTTGCCATAATTACCAGATTTTCTGCTGCACTTCAGTGTGCTTGGGGGAAAGGATCTGAGTAGTGTGTTATACTCGATTCCGTTAAAACCAAGTGGATGTTTTCACGCACTATGCAATGCAGTGGCAACACTTTCAAGGTTAATGCCTGCTTAGCTAAATACCAACAAGCTGAAGCTCGAAGTTGTTCTCATGCTTTACTGATGTCGGACATCTAGAGCTGTCATGTTAAATGACAATACTATATTTTCACTAGTTTTGGGTTTGGTTTTTTGGTTGGGTTTTTTTGTGGTTGGTTTTTTTTTCCCCCTCCAGAAAATACATTGCTGATACAAATTGATTGAAAAATTGCAAGCGTAAGGAGCCTTTCATTATTATATATTTACATGCTCATATACTCACTAGGCACTGAAGCAGCCTGAAGTGATTATTTTATACACTGCCCAAGAAGCAAACGTTCAATGGCTTCTGCACATTACATGGAAAACTTGCAAATTTTACTGTGTCTAGGCAGAAATTACACAAAGTAAGGTTTTAAAAGGATTCATTGCAAGTCTAAAATATACATTGATTCTACCTTCTTTTACTGCCAGTGAATTCAGTGGATTCATACAGAGTTTGCATCTTCCTTCCAAAGGAGGTAGTGTCAATCTAATTGTATTCAGTCTAACTGAACACATCCCTGTGATTAAAAAACACTTTTTAAAGAGTGAAAACACAACAGATCCTGCCCATCTGGGTTCTGTTTAAACATTTGATCCTGTCCTGTGTGTGATGATACTTAGCTGAGGAAAAAAGCAATTTTCCCATCTAGAAATACATATGTAAGAGTGTGCAGTGAAGTATATACAGCGCTATTCCACCTGCCAGCTCTAAAAATATCCAGCAGCCAGGGTTCATGGCTTATTTTAATTATTTGTCCATGCTTACTGTTCTGCTGATTTAATTTATGAATACAGCTAGTCATTAATGCTGTTACAGTAGAGGCATAAAGGGTGAACAATTTTATGGCCCAGTCATTAGCTGACTTGAATCAGTTCCAGTTTTCCAAAAGAAAAGATGACAAATACTCAGTGAATTCAGTTTATTTTCTGTGACTTAAATTGCTTTCCAGTTCTTAATCTGTAGTTTATTTTAATTCAGTGTAGTTCTAAAATTCAAAATATTTTTAAAATGTAGCATGGGTAGTGGTTTTGTTGATTGATGGTATCTTAAATCGGCTTCCTTTTTCCATTATAGCAAGAGAGGTCTATCTGTATTAACAAAATATGCCACAGCAAGTGCTTACCTTTCTACAACTGCTGTTTACAATGAATACATTTGAATACAAATTACTCAGTTATTATGCAGAACACATAACTGATATTTTGGTAAGTTGGCCAGATTTAAGCTTATTTAAATAACAGAAGAATTTCTGCTAACAGGGTTAGATTTATGCAATGGCAAGGAAGCAGTACTCAGGTTCATCCAAAACCTGGACGAGGAGAGGCTCCTCTACCGCAGCTGACCACTGCCTCCCCTGCCCCCCCCCCTCAGGTCAAGGAACAAGCAGGGAGATGGGCCCAGACATGCAGAGTGGTGGCCGCTCCTCCCTCCTTCCCTGTCCAAGGTCTCATAGGCAGAGTAGCGCAAACAGTAGATCCCCATGCACATATGAAGAAGGTAAAGGCTGATAGCTGCTTTCTTTACCACGCAAGCCATCTGTCCTTACCAAGTGACAACTAACCTTTGTCTTTATCTGCATCCTAACTCTGCTCATACCATACCATACCACCTTGGATCTTTCTGCATTTTGAATTCTCTCTCTTCCCCCACCAACTCCACAGTCAGCCTTTTCACATGTAGTTTAATTTTAGTTCTGAAAGCACTTGAGTCTTTTTGAGTAGCTACATGTGCTTGGATGGTACTGTCCCATAGAGGAAGACACTTCTGATGGAAGCAAATCTCAGACTGAATTTTTCCTCCCCTGACTCTGGTCATCTTCAGTTTTCAAAGTATCACCCTGAGACAGAACTTGGGAAGGGATGCTTTCCAAGTATCACCAGCTGGATGTAAGTTAGATTCACTGACCTTTCATGTGTCTTTTAATCATGCAGCTCCTGTGGCAGTGGCAGATCAGGCTGCTTTTAATTAAGTTGCAAAGGTATGGCACCATCACAAATATGAGGCTCTAGCCCACCTAGAAAAACCAGCATAGCATTTTTTGCTTCACAGAAAGAAAAGAGGGTATAATGTGCTACACAGGGAAAAAGTCCAATGATCTGCATTACACTGGCCTAAAACAAAGATGTACTTTTTACCCAGTTGGAACAACAGAAGTGTGTAAAAGCATTTGCAACACATCTCTTTGGCACTTCACATTGCAAGTAATGTGTGATCAGTCCTTGTACACAATAAAGAAAAATACAACTTCTACTAGAAAGTCAGTATTACTGATCTCCAACCATGGTTTTTTAAGTTGCTGCCAATCTCACACTTACAAGCTCAGCATATGCTGAAGTCATAAAAAAGCAGATATAATCACAGTGAATATGCCTCTTGCGTGGTACATACAACAACACGCTATAAAGAAATTTGTTGAAAATTACTGAAGTATCAAAGATTTTAAGTGAAGGCCAAATTCCCTTAGCTCAATTCTGAAACATTTCTGTCTGCATCAAGTCTTCATACTAACAAGTCCATTGGCATTCTGCTCAGACACAACGCTCTGCCTGCCACCTGGGACCTTCCTTTCCTGCAGCAGGACCGAACAAGGTCATCTGATCCGTAGCCTCTGGAAAGCACTTTTTTGTTTGTTTATTTTGAGCAGTTAAGGAGCACTTCCATCAGGAGCTAGGATGGATAAGGTGACAGAGATGGAAGCTTATGCTATGTCCACTTTAAAAATAGAGGTATGTGTTATGTTTCAGATTGAAGGTTGGAATTCAGGGCATTAAAATGTAAACTTCTTGGTATGGAAAGAGAAAAGAATTTACACTTTTGCAAGACAAAACCAGTTCAGTATTCTAAGTTTTGGATGAGGGTTTATCAGTTTCTCAATTCAAAGTTTTGGAAGTATATTTTCTGCCTGATTCATTTTACGTGTTTATTTCAGTCTGCCTGAAAGCCTCTTATATAGTTATCTTCTGTAGAACTAAACACAATGTCAAGATGAATCTACTAAAATTACACACTCCCCAAAGTACTCCATTGAAAATTACAGTAAAATCATGTATAGAGTCAGCCCTAGAGAAAAATATTTACTGCTCTGGTGATGCCATCTCTATCAGTGAGAAAAATGTGAATGGTGAGGCATGTCCTGTAGTTAACAGTTTTGTGCTTTGAAAGTGCAAAGTGAGCAGGTAGCTTTAAAAGAGGAGAGAGCGGACAGATTTCTTACAGTTCAAAATCATCTTTGGCATAGCAATTGCCTGAAATTTACACGACATCTCCAATAGGAAGGAAGTAAAGGAAAAGGGCACAGCCATACTACTACACTTCATAAACTGGCATGCATAAATACACTGCCTTTCTGTGCAGTTTCATTGATTTTCTATTATATCGTTATTCAGTTCCCATGTGATATTTCAGAATTATTTTCATCTTGTGTCCAAATTACTGCTTTTATTCCCTATGAGGGCTTGTCACAGATTATATTGTTAAAGCAATAGCATTGCCACAAAAACCTTCTTTACATCTCGCATCTTATCCTGCGAACCTGTATTAAGCTTCCTTGTAGCAATGTAAGCACGTTATCACACAGCTCAGCACAGATAGGTAGCTTCGTTTTGCAGTCCTGGCTTTGCAGTCCCAGCTGAACTCTCTGTTGACTTTAATATATCTGGCTAGATCTGCACTGTATTTTAAAACTACCCTTGACACTGGGCTTACAGCCATATTTACATGCTATCTATGCTACATACCTGAGATAGCATCCCTTGCGCTGGCTCTGTAGTAATTCTGCTGATACTGCTGGGGGGAGGACTTTGCAGGTGCGTACTTTGCACTTCAGATTCATGCCAACTGCAATGTGGACTTGCCTCAGCACCCCATACTTGGGACAGCCACTGCCATTTATCTCATCTGCAGGAACATTTTAACATTGCACAAAATCCTTTCTAAGAGACGTCTGTATTTCTGCTGCAGTTACCTATAATGGTAGTCTGTGTATGGAGCAGTGGAGTCTCTGGGCATTCTGGATGCCAGACTGACCCCGAGATCAGACAACGCATGCGTTGCCAATATGTGAGCTAATAAGCTTACAACTGTGTTGATGCTGTATGTTCGAATGACAGACAGGTTTTTGCAGCAGTATGGATGGAAATGGGTGTGACCAGCAAAGAGCTCCTGGAATTTCCTGGAAGAATAAAGCACTCTTCACCTGGTTGGTTTTGATTCCTTGCAAGGTTTGGAAATGAGTTAATACTGTTTTTAGCTTTACTTCTAATGTCGTCTGCCCATGTTGCCCCTTTTATCAAGAATTGCCAGACTATTTTATTTCTTTATTTTTAAGATTGCCCACTACATAATGATACC